AGCATTCCAATCGAACACTGCGCGACCTATTTTTTTCTTCAATTCACTCAACTTAGTTCTACACGGGACTCTTCGGTGTTTGCGTTGGCACTACTACTCTTCGATCCACCAATCATCTTAACGGCCACAGCACCGATAATGGCACCTACGACAACTCCACCTGGAAACAAATTGATAGCACGCGTATAGTTAGAATGCGGGAACCATAGGTACAGAACGGGGTCATATTATATGTACGGAGGCCACATCTGTCGATCGTACGCTACTCTCGCTTTAACCCTCGCTCTGCATGTATTTTTTAACATCCGTGAGATACCAAATAGCTATATCGTACTATTATATCGCCGACAAGATATCTAAGACAGTCGCAACCAACCATGCGCCACAAGATATTTGACTTATCTCACGCGCTCGGTACTAACACCCATCTTTTAACTGTCATGCGGACGAGATACATGCCAGTTGTTTATCTAATACAAATGGGGGGCTACAGAAGAATGCACCTGCAAGACTACCCGCAACTACATATACAACACCGCACCACACACAATATACCAGAACACGCCATAAAATCGTACACATTAAAACACACCTATGATTCCACCAACTAGCGCTCCAGTGCTTACACCACCACCGTCACTCTCCGCCGCATCAGCTTCACTCTTAACCGATGCCGCGTCTTCAGTAGATGTCGAACTGATATCGAACGCCGGGAAGTTGGTCTCAGCGAAGATACCGTCTAACACAGCAGCCAGACGCATTCCTCCTATGACCACACGGGACTCCGCGATGAGATGGGCCTCGTCGGCATATGACTGTAAAGGTATGGGAAGTGTATAGGGTTTGGAAGTTGGTAAGCCTCTACCGTACTAATTTTTGACGAAATATGATGGCTATGAACAAGCCTGATATGTACGGACCAGCAACACTATGTCGACTAGCAAATTTCACAACTGAAATGCACAGTGCGCCGGACCTAACAGACCCACGCTCCCAATAGCTACAAGTCATATTTAACAATAGAACAGACATTAATGCAATCGCTCGCGTTTCACTCTATGCGCGGTTCCTGATCACATAAAGCGATGTGAGTACAGAAAGCCATGTCGACAAGGACTGTATCATACCTGCTCCATCATTCCGTTCAACGGTGCTGCGTCGTACGAATCGACCCCAAGGTTGAAACTCTCATTCAACCAGATATCGATGGACTCCTCCATGCGCGTGCGATCTTCCTCTCGCGCCAAATCCGTGTCATAGCCCATCTCGGCAAGCTTAGTAATCGGATACTTCGCGATCAAAGCGGCGGCAAATTCTGTGTATTCGGGATCACTCGCCTCGATTTCAGCTGGAAGGAAGGGAAATAGAGGTCCGTTGAGAACACATTAGAGGTCGAACAAAAAATCACCAAAATGTATATTCTTGTAAATGACTGGTACTTTGTAGTAGAGCATGACTTGCGTTCTATTGAGCAAGTGATTGAATCAAATTTACATTTCCCAACGACCTCACTTCTGAATTATCATTACATATTCCATTGTGGAGTAAGTTGCACCACATACGTCATAAAAGTATCCAAACATATGGCATTTCATCCTTTTATAGTAGCACGTCTATCACACATACCCTGCAAATCATTGCCCCATAGAGTTTGTCCACTGTCCCACCAGGAATGCAGGTTAGTGGATTCATTGGCAGGTGTGATGAAGGTCCATCGGTTGCCTCCAAAATCACTGGCAACCTCACCATCATACATCATGCAACGTGCCACGGCATGGTATGGCTGATTGCGAAAAAAAGTTATATTCAAAGATTCAGTAGGGGTTCGTGTGCACGCTTGTCACAAGAAATCTGGCACACATTTGCAAATCGTATACTGTACAATGGTCACTTTTGTCTTCTAAGCACTTACGCACAGTATAGTAAGGGGTCACGAATGATTTGACCAGCAAAAATCATTCACAGGGCAACGTAGGCAAAGCTAGCTATAGGTGATATGCCTTTTACGAGTACGGGGTTCCATACCTGATGCACATCTCCGATCATATGTACTAAGAAGTTGAGGCCGAAGTGCGCGTACCAATGGGCTGTTTGGCGTCCATTGTATGTGTCAGGGATATCTGAACTGAGTTGCAACATCTGTGTCTTTGCGTCGACATCCACACTCTACAGACGAGTGCACATATTTTAAATGATGTACGAGTAATTTGGTTAAATGAGGTGTATATACAAACTACCATAAATTTCTACGTCAATGTGTACTGAGCGTCATCACCCTAAGACTAACTGCAATTAATACCTTCCGACATATTAAAAAGTATATCATGATCCGAGATGACCAGATAGGCCTTTGTCCTAAGAGGACAATTCCCATATATCAAGCATCAATAAAATTCTATCTACGCTCTTTGAGGCGAACTCTTAAAATATAACTACAATTTACTCAAAACTAATATAGTCATCTCCCAGATGTTTTCTATTTGAATCCATGCATACGAAATTTAGCCTTAGCGATGAACCACACATAAACACATAAGAACAGTACCGTGTCACAGTTAAGATTGTCGGGGTCGTATCTGATATTCACGTAGTGCCAGATGCCGAAAATCTGCATGTTATAGAAACTCTTGGCTACATCCGCCCAGGTGGCAGCCTGAACGAGCGTTGTGCTGCAGGAATGAAAGAAGTGATACCATAACGAACAAATCAGTAATGTTACTCATTCAGGAATATATTAAACAACTCAGTTAGCGACGTAGCGTATATTTGTATGATTATGTATCAGATGAATAGTCTTTTTCTCTCTCGAAAATTAAGTCCTTCCAAGGGTTCTAATTACTAGCAGCGAACACTTTCAGGGGTATTTGCTTGTTTGCAGCCATCTTGTACATATTTACAAAAAAAACTCAAAGTAACTCCTGTGAAGTATTTACCTTTCTTGTTTCGGGCGAGAACTGCCCTGGGCGGCGTAATTACCCATCTCCCACTCGGTGACTTCGTCATTGTAGAGAGTGTCCATGTAGGACAGAACATTATTGACTTGCTGTTCAAATTGATGGGCATTTACGACAATTTGAGTACTTCGAAGTCATTCGAATTAGAAAAGTTATACAAGTTGCAACATAAGGCTCACAGGGCTCTGTCTGCTAATATGAACGCTATGAACGCCAATATATCCGTTGAAGGCGCTGAAAAATCATGATATGCACTATTATGCAAATTAGAGGGTGAAAAACGATGCATTAAAATATTTTCGCGCCCATTGGTATAAAAATAGAATCTTCAGTTCTACTGCTACTGACATAGTTCAATACCTCGATAGAGTGAGCATTCTTCATATGCGAAGTAGCCACTGCGGCGACAACTGTGGTGTGAAGGGAGGCATGCTCAACAATTAGTCAGAGGCTAGATCTTAAGTGCACAACCATAAGCAATGAGTGTACTAAAATAAATTGTCCATGAAATCATACAATACTCTCTTTTGCAGCGAATAAGTTTGCAGTTGAAAGCATCACTGTCAAAATGGGCCGGGAAGACTCACGTTTATGTCCAACGTCCCACCATGCCTGTGAGCTGCCCACCAAGGTCAAGGCGATCGCTGATGCAGCGAACAGTTTCATTGCGATAATTCTTTTGTTATACTAGTGCGTTACCAGCATAAATGAATATGTTCTTAAAGATACTCTGGTTTAGGGATGATATACAAATGTGTGGAATGGTGAAGAAACAAAAAAAACATCACCATTTGACTGGACTTGTGTCTAATTTAGAAGGTTATGACTTTAGTGGACTAGTCTATGTCATATACCTTTCTCGCGCGGGTGATTAAAGTTAATGTGCACGGATCACTGCGGAATGCGTAAAATTGATTTCCAATTGGCAATTGGCCAGACTCGGAAATAACTAAATTTAGAATATTTACAACAGCTGACTTTTGTTTTTTGAAACAAAAACCAATATGTACAAACATTGCCCTATGCTATGGTACATATCACTCGACGTTTTCTATCAGGATGAGTTATCCTCGCAACATCAACAAGAGAGAGACGGGCTGGGGCCCTGGGCCTGGGGCTGCCGGTTGAGGCTCTGGGGCTTTGGCCTCTGGGGCCGGGGGCTCTTGTTGAGAGAGTAGAGAGTAGCCAGTGGGCATGTTTACTGTTTAGTGTTTAGTGCCTTTTTTTTCTTCAGAAGTGTTTTCTCATTTGTTAATGTTTTGACCGTATTATTTATTTCCTCATTCCGTCAAAAACTTTTTAGTCTCGTTACCTATTTGACAACAATTTGCAAATATCAATCTATACTTTTTTTAGATACATATGTGATACGATATATACTTAGTGTGGAGTGTGGTCTGTGGTCTGTGGAGCGTGGCAGATTCAGGTCTCAGGAGGGCTGGGCTAGTGTTTTAAAATTTTATTTAAAACTGTGTTGTTGCTATATAAAACTGTGTTGTGTCAGCTAAAAATAGATTGAGACCACACGGCACACTTAAATAAGTATTTACATACAACGTTTGTAACTTTACTATATCGTGAATTCGTGAAGTTCATTGTCGCTACGGCCTAAAATACACACTTAGTGGTTGCAATTTAAAAAAAAGGGTTAAAAAAATACAATTGACTATTGTCTGCACAGTCTGGAGTCTGGACTGTATTTAACCCTGTAAGTAGCGCATGTAGTGTAGACAGAAATTAATAAAAATTAACAAGGCACAAGCGTTTGTATTGGTTAAAATAAGATTGGAGGCATACCATATGCTATATAAGGCAACTTTATGAAAAGCAATTCTTCCAACCAAAGTACAGAACTCATAGAAATCGACTACTAGTAGAGCCAGTGCCCAGTGTTCTAAAATACTAGACTGTACTGATATGTACTACTAAAGTCTTTAAGGGTTCAAGCTTACGAATACTCCTAGATGCCCCGCTCGCATACGTGCAAAATTTGACATAAAAGTGGTGCCTTGGAGGCTGGAGCCTTGGACGGCACCCAAATTTGAAATTCTAAAGGAGCAAAAAGGAAAGAGGAGGCCGCAGGCCGACCGGTCTCTTTTTGGGCCAAATTGACAGGGTTCGACACTTTTACAATATCAAGATCATAAATTGAATATGTATCATAATGCCTATGTATTTATGTATGTTTATATGCATATAGCCCTCCGTGCTCTCATTGCCGCCTTCATAGCTAAAACTATTCAAATATCGGTCACAATTCTAAAGGAGAGAAAGGGAAAGAGGAGGTCGAAGGCCGCAGGCCGACCGGTCTCTATTGGGATCAAATTGACATGTTTTGACACTATTACAATAGCAAGACCATAAATTGAATATGTATCATATCACATGTATTTATGTGTGTTTATATGCATTTAGCCCTCCGTGTTCTCACTGCCGCCTTCCTAGCAATAGCTATTCAAATATCGGTCGCAATATCACAAATTTTACACGTATACGAGCGGGGCATCTAGGAATATTCCTAAGTACATAAATCGGTCACTCACACACACAGATATATATATATATATATATAATAATATATATGTTTGTATATATATATATATATATATATTATATATATATATATTTATATATATATATATTATATATATATATATATATAATATATATATATATATATATAAATATATATATATATGTATATACATATATATA